AGATAGATAGATAGATAGATAGATAGATAGATAGATAGATAGATAGATAGATAGATAGATAGATAGATAGATAGATAGATGGATAGGTAGGTGGGTAGATGAGGCGATCCGCCCACGCTTAGGAAATTTTAGCCGACACGGCCGAGCTATTAAGTCGATTCTCAAAGTGTCTTCATGGCTGTTGGAGAGCAGTTCGGAGTACTACTCGTCATCGCCCAGAAGATAAAAACATAAGATCCGTGTTTGTGGGTATAATGAGAAGAAAACTAACAATAAAAGACGCATTTTTGATGCGTACTCAAGTCGAGAACAACACGAACTATTACGATAGTCGAAACCAAAACTATGCATGTATAGCTTCGTAACTTGATGAGTAATGAATTATGAAAGACAAGCGTCGACGAACGTAAGTAAATAAAACGCGAATAAACAGCTTGTTAAGAAGGCGATTACCAGTGTTATAAATCTACAACGCAGTGCCCAGACGAGGAAAGTCATGTGTTATGATTAANATCTTTCTCCAGAAACATCGAATAGGTCTGTCTCCGATTAACAACTTCTTGTGGTTTCCTGATTGCTTTTTGATTACCTCACCACTAAGTTGAATGGTGACGAGTCTGTGGAGCACGGCCACTGTTTCAGTTCCATTCAGCATGTTCACTTTGATGTCCACACCTGCCGCCGTCCATCTCCTTCCTGCACTTCGCTCACTAGACGCATTTTCACCCGTAATCTACATGATCTTTTCCATCCGGATATTGGACCTCCTGAGCCAGGGTCTCCTACACGGCCTACGACATGGTGACTTAACTTTGCCTCCGACATTTCCAGAGGTGTACCCGGCTTCCGTTTCACTTATATTCTTAACTCATCCGTCGTTTTATCTTGCGGTCTAATGGAAGTTTGTTTGATCGTTGTTTCCAACAGAGATAGCCCGATTGGCTGCTCCGTTAAACTGTGGCTTGTTTTCAACACCTGTCTACACTGTTGTGTCCCAGGCTTCTGCTGACTCAGTTGACTGGGTTTTCGCCAATGAAACCGCAGCACGTGTGAAACAAACATGGCACTTTCTGGTCCTCAATGTCCACAAGGGTCTGGACTGAGCGGTGATCAGCCGTTCCGGAGGGGGCCTTTTCCGGGTCAACAATTTGAACGAAATCAGAGGTTCTCTCATCCACCACTTGTGCTGTGTTTCTGGGTAATTCTTCTGCCAGCACTCCAGCTCTATACACTCGAAATTTCCCTTGCTAACGACTCTCTGGTTGATATCTGTTCGGATGGCCGCCATCCCCGTTAGTTACTTGACAGTTGCCCTTCAGTGACCTGAACACCAGTGATCTTTTCCCAGTGAACTCCCTCACTGCATCCACCATTTTGAATACATCCATAGTCTTCCCGGCATTAATTAAACGAGCCATCTCCCACGGGCCTTCCGGCAGGCTCTCCGTGAAATGATCGAGTAAGTTTGCGCGCGCTGCTTCGTCTAACATCGAGAGCGCTCGATCCAAAAGGTCGCGCAGAGCCTTGGCGTGAGATAGGGTGTCCACACCAACTGTGAGCTGTGCGGTCCTGAAGTGCTGCAATGCCTCCTGGCGATCGGCCGGGAAGACGAATCCCGAGATTAGGGCGTCCTTCGCGGCGGCCCACTCCATCTTCTCCGGATTTCTTTGCGCCGCTTCCAGCACCACCCGCGCACGACTCTTGAGAAGCGCTCAGGGGTAGGGCTTCAATACACCTCGGTCCGTACGCATACCAGCCGGCTCCGCGACATCTTAGAACTCCTCCGGGAAAGTCTCCACGTCCCTACCCTGGAAAGCTACAGGCCATGAAACCAACAGCCTGATCCTGGCGACGGCACCAATTGTTATAAATCCACAAGGCAATGCAAGAACGAGGAGTTATTTATTACAAACAACGGTACTAACGGTATCGCTAAATTGGCATACATAAAACAAAATATCTCATTTGGAACAGGTCTTCAGTGTTTCTGCGATGTTTCCACCGTGGAGGCTAGATCTCAAGAACGTAAGGCGAAACAATGAGAATAGTTGTTAATCCCTTTTCAAAAGCCCGCCGCCTAAAAGTTAAGTGAAACCCTTCGATCGAGGCAAAGTCAGTTGTTATGACGATGTCATAAGTGTCACAGTGTGGAGAACATTAATGAACTTGCAAAATTTCGAGAAACTAACCCATTCCGAGGTTTTGCACCAGATCCTGGTTTGAATGATGTTTGCTTGATCGAGTTTGTTTGCTATCCACGTGCTCTCCAGTTTCATCGTCTGAGGAGATCGCACTTTGTCCAAAAAGATCATCTGATGATGATGATGAGTGGATCGGTTTCTGTTTGTCTCTACGCCGGAAAAAGCTGGTCACTTGTTCCGGAATCGAAAGTGTTTGTAACGCTTGGTTTTTTCGAGATTGCCAATTAAAACGAGTATGAGAAGAATAAGGCAATTGGTCTAAAAGCGAAGATGTTCTAGGTCAAAATGACTAACATACGTGGCACACTACTCGGGTCGAGTAATCTATCAAGGGGAGCAGACTCAGCAGTTCCCGCCGTGGCATCGTGCGACACCTCCAGCATTGTAATGTCTTGTTTTTCGGTCACCGCAAACGATGATTCAACAACACGGAACTGGAAAGAGCATGGGGAAATATAGTATTAGTTCAACAGTGAATGGGACAGACATTATACGTTTGACACGCTTTCACCCAGGCGGGTGTGACTATGTGCTTCTTGGCTTTTTTGGCCGCGGCCAGCAGACTCTCAGAACCATTGCGAAACACAACATGTGTGACTGATGGACCCAACGTGCGTGCCACAGTCGCGCCCAAATACTGAAGTCGAGAGGAAATGGCCAATGCCGGATTGCCCAAACTGGATTTCACTTCAACGAGGGCAACAACACCTGCGAGTATAAAGAGAAATTTACAAATAGATGGGACACCTTTGAGCACGTCCATGCTTCCGGGACATAGTGTGGAATTCGTGGATTTACAACGATGCCGATCAGCTTGGTTAGTCATGGAAATAGTTTCGGTAAGTCCGGAATCGAAATTGCCTGCAAAGAAAATAAACATGTGTGACCTAAATGGTCTAAATGCATCAATACGATAAATTTTCTAACACGAATACAGTCGAACAGTAAACCATTGGGTGAACAGTGGTTAAACGAAGGATCATCATCATCATTATACAACGAAATACAGAAGTGAACGTCACTAATCACTATCACACTCACAATGAATGACGGCGGTGGTGAAGTGGTTTAGCCACTGTGACCAGCGTGATTTGGATCCTATGGCTCGAGGTTTGAACCCTACCACCAGCAACCAACTCGGCGGCAGTCAGCTCCGCTGTCGACAATACAACGCTTAACCTAGTAAGGCCTTATGTGGTTCGCCACTCACAGTCCTCATATTGTCGATTTCCATTTCGGAACAGTAGGTCTTCTCGAGTATGGGGTCCATCTCATCTGCTGTTCATCACACAAATGTGTGTATAAAAATATAATACATATAATAAAGGTTAGAATGCCTACGATGGACAGGGATTGGGCTTATTTAGAAGGAGAGGTAAGTCAGTTTATGTGGACAATACAGAATAAACACTATCTAACCGTGCATACGCCAATTGTCAATCATTCCGATCTGATGAAAAACGACAACACCACCGTTGTCGGTTCTCTGTCATATACTTCAGTGTTTCCAACCAAACAGGTAGAGTTTTAACTCCAGTTTGGAAAACCACAGACACCTGCATTATCAAATCGCTCCGTGGACTTTTGAATGTTTTGTTCGCACCTCTTCTTTTCTTTATGTTTCTATTCTTTTCATCTTTTGGCATACACGGGATTTTCTCTAGCCGGGAGCGAGAAGAGTACATGAAGTGAAGTGTGCTAGGTGATCGTTAGGTACGCGTAGAACATGTCTCAACCAGGGATGCCTACTGATCTGACTTTGATGCAATATGGAATTTTTCCTCTTAACTTCTCAAACACATGACGGCTAACATTAGCACACTCGTGCTATCCTACACGGGTCAAAGTGTGGTCAGTTGAAGGCGTTTTACAGTGTCACGGAAGTCTAAGATCTCTTCGGCCCTATTGACTGTTGGAGCATTCGGCGGAAAGTCCCACGTGACTGACCATTGAATAACCTCATTCCTTTAGACTGAGTCCCCTGAAGCTCAGCCAGATTTCAATTCGGTGACATTGAAGGAGGGATTCGCTAGATCTCAAGAAGGTTACCAACAAAGAGAAGGAAAAGGAGAGAGCCTGAGACCGTTCTCCTGGGGACCCAACTGCGATCTTTTGTCACTAACCCCTACCGTGAAGTTGCTACCTGCTAGGCATCGGGCAATCGCCTTTGGAGTGACCCCGAACAGAATGAGTTAATTTAGAAGTGATGAACCGAGTTGAGTGCCTTGGTAAACTCAAGGTAGCAAACCTTAACCCGTTCTCCTTGATCTATTTGCCTAGTGACCCTGTCTAAGAAACAGCAGATTTGACAGGCATGATCGTTTTCTGATGAAGCCATGTAGGTCTGCGGACAGCAACTTGATTGCAAACAGGTGGTTGACTATCTTGCCACAGTGGATTCGATTTATCACTCTCAAGACTACCGATGCTGAGCTGACTGGCCGTTAGTTTGAGCATAAGTCTCTAGTTCCAGTCCCTCTAAGAATTGCCGTGACTGTGACTAGTAGTCAATCCTCCGGCGAACAGTCTGTCTCTACCGGAGCATCAAAAAGGTTAGAGGCATGCAAGCTGTTTTGCCAGATGCTTCCGAGTTGCCAGATGGAGGCGGTTAGGACCTGTAACCCTCTTTATTACTAACAGTTGAGGTTCTGCAGACGCCCGCCATCAGTTACATGCGAGAAATGGCCAATAGCCCGGGTTGTCGGTCATCACTTTTATTCGCATTCAACTTACGGTTAGTTGTGAGTAGTGTTGTGGGGTAACTGATCGTGATTGATTGTGACTGGCCATCCTTCAGTTCAATGTTAATGAGTAACCCAGTCTAGTACGTCTGTGGCCAGTTAACATGTAATCTGCATGGAAGACCTGACTTGTTGGGAGGCTTCTGATTGGAGTTAACAGATGGTGAACCGTGTCTCCCTTNCGTTGCTGTCGGACCAAATTGGACTGATTAACTATCTCTGAAGACGACACCTGACCAAATATGAATTGGCAATTCCGTTTAGCCCTGAAGTGAGCCGATTGGCACAGTGGTAACACACACGCCTTCCATGCGATGGATCCGGAATTCAAATCCCGGACCGGTGGATGTGCACTTCTGATGAGCTATAAGAAGAGCGAAACTCGACTTCCGAGTGTATAATTGACTGGAAGAGTTGAGGAATGTGCGTGAAGGTAGAGTCTAAAGGATGGTCAGTTCTAATTATCCAACACCATCTTTTACACAATCTAGCTTTTTCGAAGCCAATAGTCCACCCAATAACTGCATACTGTTAGTGTCATTTCAACTTAGGGTTCTGGCTGTTTCTCAAGCCTGCACAGAAGGGGCGTGACCACGTCCATCAGTCAACATATACATACTTCCATGTTGGTTCTGTGGAGCAGTTGAAAGAGGTCCTTGGAGAACTCATCCTACATTGCTGGCGAACTGCAATCAGCCGGTGCTTACACGGATACGACGAATAAGCCTCGACGTTTCGATCTGTAGCTGTTGACCCGAACTGAAACCACCAGCGCAAAGTCGGTTACTGACCGAGATCCTGTTGAGAAGTGAACGCGCGACCTTGACAATCAGCGCGATCCCGACGTCAACTACATCACCATCATCATTGTATGGCGCAATACAGTGAAGCAAACTTCAATATATACATATATATATCTAACACGTAGTCAATTACATATAATTGGCAAATGTGTTATAACATATGAAGAAAGAAATGTGAAAAGGGTTCAAATATAAATCAACGAATAAGAGTGTCGCAACAGGGGCACCATTGAAGCCGGTTACTAGCCGTGTCTGCAAGTGTAGCAAGCCATAGATGTTCTGTCCTTGAGCCCCCAACCTTGGAGTTTAAACCGCTCTACCACAGCCAGTTTTGAGGTTAGCGACTTCATTGTTCGAGCCAAGGTTATTCGCTGTCCACCGTTTCGCCGCTTCCAGTCAGTGTCTGCTTGCGCAAACAACACGATGGGGCAATCGTTGAGCCGGCATCCGCAACACATGTCCTAGCCATCGAAGTCTCTGGAGAGAGATGACGGCACTCAGAGGACGACTGAGATTGTCTGCGGTGAAGATTCTTCAACGAACCTCGTCGTTGGTGATTCGCTGTTGCCAAAGTATTC